TTAGAAGGACACTAATTCCACAATGAAGAACCCTCCCTTGTAGTGTGATCTAAGTCTAATCCCCTCCCAAGATCTGTTACCCTGGAGGTCAGAGCTTCAACATATGAATGGAGATGGTGCTCATCATTCAGTAGAAGACCTGAGTCCCTTCACCAAGGGCCTCCATTCTTCCATTAAGTAGATGTTGCCTGGAGCCTCAGCAAAGCAGAGGGGTAAGACAGTAGCATAGACCTTCAGGTCTGCCTTCAGGTCTTAGTAAAAGCATTTCAGAAATATTTGGGAGGATTTTAATTAATTTTTTTATTGAATTTTCATGAGATACACAGAAGTTGTTTATGATTGGGTTTCAGTCATACAATGTTCCAACACCCATTTCTTCACCATTTTCTTCTCTTTCTCTCTCTCTTTCTCTCTCTCTCTCTCTCTCTGTGTGTGTGTGTGTGTGTGTATGTGTGTGTTTGAGCACTATGGTTTGCAGTATAAGTACTGAAAGTTATCATGTTTGTCCTTGTACCTCCTTTCAGCACTCAGTTCTTGTCCAGATCATTTCCAACTATCATTGTCATAGTGGTCCCTTCTCTATCCTAAATGCCCTCCCCACCACCACCACCACCACCACCACCACTTGTGGCAAGTTTCCAACCATGAACCAATCCTTCTGGCCCTTGTTTTTACTGTCCCTGGGTATTGGTCCCAGAAGCCCAAAAACACAGAGCAGAAAAGCCACCTGCACTTCTGTGTTCATTGCAGTACTATTCACAATAGCCAGAATCTAGAAGCAACCCAAGTGCCCAAAAACATGACTGGATAAAGAAACTATGGTACATCTACTCAATTGAATACTATGCATTTCAAAAATCTTTTATTAGAACTGGAACTGGTTCCAGGAGACATGAAGGCAGACATCTACCTGTGCCAGAGGGAGTAACCTCAGAACTAAGCTATGAGGGGATGGAACAAGAGGGGAGGAGAGCTACCTAAGCTACGTGTAGGCTCCAGAGTAGAGGAAGGAATTTAAGGTGTGGCTGGAGCTTCAGAGGACATTGAATTGTGTCTCCCCTGGGGTGAAGTCTGTGAACTTCCCCATTGGCAATTCTGTGCTGGGCCCATTCATTGAGTAGCAGAGAAACATACCTTGGCCATGGCTTTGTGATCAGGTCTGGTTGGCCTCCTCTGGGGGTGGGCGTGAGGTGTGGGGTTGAGGAGCTGAGTAGACCAGAGGGCCAAGATCTGGAGCACAATCTTCACATTTTCGCATCTCAGCATAGTCTGGCCTCCAACTTCATGACCCCGTGAGAACCATGTGTGTGATTCTTGGAATCCTCTTCATTTAGTGAAATACATATACATATATATCTATATATAGATATAAAGAGATATATAAATGTCCTCAAGATAGAGCTGATCATCAGCAAGTAGAAATAAAGATAGTAAATGAAAATCAACATCCATGAACCAAATCTGCTTCCTGCAAAATCTTTCTGCCCATCCCTTTGTGTAAAATGCTTTCTAATAGGTCTTTAGACCTTTCTTCTACAACTTTTGGTTTAAAATAAAACTTATTGTGGTCTCTAAAGACATACTTATAATTTCCACGTTTATGTCCAGCAAACATGCTGAAATATCACTGGCAACTAAAACCACTTGCCCATAAAATACAGGCTGTAGTTGCGATGAAGAAAGAGACCCCTGCCCATATTTCTTTCTTTTCTTTTCTTTTCTTTTCTTTTCTTTTCTTTCCTTTTCTTTTCTTTTCCTTGTGTTTGAGCCGGACCAGTAGAGCTCAGGACTTACTCCTGAATTTGCACCCAAGAATTACTCCTGGCAGTGCTCAAGGTACCACACTGGGAATCTACCCTGGTCAGCTGCGTGCAAGGCAAACACCCTACCCACTGTACTATTGCTCTAGCCCTGAACCTCTGATCATATTTCAAAGAGGCTTACTTCAAGCAGGCTAACAACCAGGATCTGCCAAGGACTAGCTAAATCTGGGAGAAACAGCCATGAAAAATATTCAAGATGCCCTTGAGAGGGTCAGAGTCTTGCTATGTGACCTTGGTTACCTGGGAAGTATCCCAAATGTGCTCATGTCCTTGAGGTGGTCTAGACCCCGCTTTGTAGAACAACATGCTTTGGAATTTCTGCTTCTGTACTTTTCTGCCTGCTGTCTGCAAATGTCCCAACCCACCAAAGATTCTATAAAAGGAAGCTTTTACCTTTGTTTGGTAAAGTACATGATTTCAGCTGGGCTACTAGTTTCATATAACAGTGTTTCCCCACTTTTCAAGGTGCATTGCTTGCTTTTTCACTGACTTTCAGTGAGAATTTCTGCAACATTTGTATCTGGCAATCCTGATTTTATGACATAAATTTATATGGGTCATTGTCTGGGCCTTTCACCACTTTCTTTTTCTAAGTTTTTTTCACTCCTTTTTAAGATAGTGGCTACAGTTTTGCTCTCACCATTCAATTTTATCACATTCTTGGGTTACCAGACACAACTGGTACTCAGAAAAGAAATGGTGGTGCAAAGAATGATAATATGACATCTGGCATCTGCACTTAAGCTGCTAGTTCTCTAGGCCTGTGGAAATTAAAAGAAGAGAAAATGAGGGTCTTGGGAAGGTTGAGTCTAAAAGGGGAAATGGTGGGCTTGATGGATTCCCTCAGGCCAGTCAGTATGACTTCTCTTCCCAGGGGCAAGACACACAGAAGCAATGAGAATTTGTGATACCACACTTGTTCCCTTAATCTCAGACTAGACTAGGCTCAGTGTGGATTTTTTCCCCCAATTTCTATAGAGTGTGGTAAGATTCACAAAAGTCCAATAACCAGAGTCCCTTTAGGGACTATATGGGAATAGAGAGTTGAAAAGGACCTAAGGGCTATGTGGTCTCTGTTATTGCCACTGTCCAAGAGGATAATGGGAAAATGTATCATCACCTCTTCTGACATGGCCTGGTACTCACCTGGCAGCCCTAACACCACACTTCGTGCTGAAAGATTACCTCTCCACAGTGCTGGCCTTCTGCTATGCCAGAGTTCCCCTTAACTGAAGAGAAAAACCCTGTGGTTAAGGTTTGGGGGATGTGGAGGCACAAGTACAGGTTCTTTCTCATTGCCCTGAGTCTTTAAATTGCAACCTCTCTTTTAATTTTCCGTTTTGCCTTGAACACATCTGTGCCAGGACTGGACAAATGCATTTCGTCTGGGAGGATGATCCCAGACAGCTATAAATTAAACTGTGTACAGAGATGCCAAAAATGTGGCTGCGGGCTAGGGAGTCCCTGGGACTTGTCACCTCCCCCACAGTCTGTGCGGTGGCTGCAGGTCTTGGCCTGTCGCCTTTGTCAATAGATTTTGCTTTGTATTTGGAAACTGCCTTTCCATTAGTCGCCCTGGAGGTGGGCAGGAGGGTTGCCTGTGAGGCTACTGACCCAGAAGGTTGATCTCAAGGGCACCTCCGTCCTGCACCGGTGTCTGAACCACGGCAGACGGCTTCCTCCAAACCAGAGCCTGGTTCAAGGAGGTGCTTTCCACTTGGTTTCTGGATTGAGCAGATTGTCAGTTTTATAACACGTTTAAAAAACTTCTTTAAACCTCGGAGAAGAACACAAGCTTAATGCAGAATACTTAGGCAAGACCATAAAAGGAAAAGGGAAAAAATGTCACCTGTAACCCTATTCCACAAAGATCAGTTGTGCTAATATTTTGGCCTGATTTCCCTGTGTTTTTTCCATGCCATGTTGCCCTTTTTAGAAATATTTTAAAGCTCAGTTCCTTCAACTGTCCCCCTCCTTCCCAATGCCCCATTATCCAATCAGTGCTTTCCCGAGTACTGGAAAGTTTTACTTTCTCCACGCTAGGAGTCCAGCTGCTAGAACTCAGCCGCTCGCACTCCTTGTTGGAGTCATGCCACCTTGTGAAGAAGCCACAGAGGAGCTGGCCTGGGAGAAGAATGAAGCCCTCACGAAAACCCAGCTAAGGGGCAGTGTCTGTGCCATAGCAAGGTCCTGTGGAAAAGGACCCTGATTTCCTGCTGATTGACTCCCATTTCCTTCTTCAGCTGTCTCTCCATTGCAAGCTCTGGGCCTGCCTTTCCCGGTGGGACCAGGGCCACCCTCGGATGGTTCATCTGGGGAGAGGCTAGAGCAGCCCAGGCCTAACTGGACAAGTTGGCAAGCCCAGGAGGCTATTTTTATACCTCCGATGCTTTCCCGCCATGCCACAGAAGGGGAAACCTCTGGAGGCCAGTTGAAGCAGTGAAAGTGGAGAGATTTGAGCTGGGTGTTTGGAGGGAGAGCATGAGGATGCTGGTGGGGGGTGGGGGGGGACATGCCAGCTCTGCAGGGAGAGAACGCGCCCGCAGCGTGGCAGACAGAGGAAGCCGTGATGACTCTACCAGCTGCGGCCTGCCCAGCCTGTCCAGGAGCCACCCAGCACACAGACCGCGCTTTTTCAGAAAATTATTTTTTCCTTTCTCTCTCCATGGAAACTCAAAATAGCAACCAATAAAAGAAATAAAAATAAATAAATCTAGGTTGCCTCCTGTGCTGGCTCCATGCTCTGCCCTGACCCAGGAGGCAGCAGAGAAAGGGTTCCTGATGCCCCAGAAGGGCTTCCTGCCTGGGCACCAGCAGGTCTGGGTGTGGACTGGTGCTGAGGTGAATGTTTCCCCCATCTAGGAAGGTGGGATCACGCAGGTCTGGGGTGAACCTGTGATGGCCCTGTGGCTGACACAGAGACCCTCTCCCTGAGATGACAAGGTCCCAAGTACCCAGTGAGGGACAGTGGGGCTGAGGAGTTGGCTAGGCTTTGTGTAGTCCCAAACCCAGATGGAACTTTAAGGTGATATCAGGATTGTTGAGACCTGGGGCACATAATTTTACCTTCCCTGAGAAAGGGAAATTGTAGACTAGGTGATTCCTAAAGGTCCCCTTCCTGCCCTCACACTCCCTTGGCCCTGATTCTACCTCTGTGAACACCTCATTTCCTTGCAGCTGGCGGGCTCGGCCGTTGTTGCCTTCGGACTATGGTTTCGGTTCAGCGGTGCCATGAAGGACTTCTCGTCAGAAGACACATCCCCAGAGTATGTCTATGTGGGTAAGTGTCCTCAGCATCCTGTGGCTGCAGTGGCTCGAGCAGAACCTGCCATGCCCTCTGGTGGGAAAGGGTCAGAGTTCTACCCACCAAACACAGTCCTCTGCTCCCCAGGACCCCAGAAATCACCGTGAGGAGATTGATGTGATGTCCCATTGCAGCAACTTCTGGGAAAGGGGCTCTGAGCATGATTGCGATTGATTTCCAAAGAATGTTAGAATATTCCCTTGGTCCCCTCTGCGTGCCATGGCTACAACACAGAGCCAGTTAGTCATCTGTCAATCTGGGGGAAAAGGGGACCCCACAAGCCTATATTTTAGATTACCTGGGTGATGGGGCCAGAGAGACAGTACAAAGTTTAGGTGCTCACCTGGCATGCAGCTTCGGCTACAACCCAAGTTCTGGATTCTAGATCCTGGCACTACAGATGGTCCCCTGAGCAGAGCCAGGATTGGACACCCCCCAAAAAAATAAGAAAACAAAATAAAATAAGTAGAGAAATACCTTGTCTAGGAGAGGAATACAATTTAAACCAACCTGTTCCAAGGGTAGAAGTGCTCATCTTGGTCACTCGGAGACTAGAACAAAGAGTCGGGCTGCCTGAGGAAGTATAGGGTTGGAGAAATAGTGACCTGCCTTCCACTGTCTGGAGGACTGGGAGAAAGGAGGTGGTACCCCCTGGCTCCTGAGATGCCCACATCAGTAGGACCTGTAGAGCCAATCACCTCTGCCCTACCTGTCTGCTCTGCACATTCCTGGTTCAGATAAGTGTCCCTGAACTCTACCTACCAGAAAGCTATTTGGTAGCAGCCCCATGTGGCTGGTGAGTGAAGATGCACACCCACCACAGAACACTTCCACTGATGTGCCACCTCAGGTTTGGGGAGAAGCAGGACCCAAGGTCATCTTCTCCAAAGCCCCAGGGTAGACCCTGTTTCCTGCATGTCCCATTCAGAACCAGGACAACTTCCTGAAGGCTGCTCCAAGCTGCTTACCTCCTCTTCCCATCAGGGAGGGCTATAACTTTAACTTTTAGAGCAAAGTTAAACAATTTGCTAAAATATGCAGAGCAGGATGGGGGGGAGGTAGTGCAGGTATTACGGCCTGGTATATGCGCAGCTCCTGTGTAGTCCACAGTACCATCCGCCAGAACCCCCAGATGTGTCCCTAAAGCCACCCCCAGCATCTCCAAGGTGACTCTGCTGGTCCTCAGCATGGCCGGGTCTGAGCAGCACCATATCCTCTGACCTAGGACTGAACTGCTGGCTTGGGTGGAAAATACCACTGGAAGTGTACCCTGATGACTGCTTGGAAGGTCCCTTGAAGTTCAGTAAAATAGAGGATGGACAACAGTAAGAATAGTTCACCTTTTTTCAAATCTTAAGTGCAGTCTTTTGTAAAACAGCCAATTAATTTAAGTTCCGCTAAGATGCTGTCCACATAACCATGAAGGATCATGAAAGACACATCCTGATTTAAGGAAGCAACACGTATTTTTTATATATTTACATTCCACAAACTGTAAGTATATATTTAATAATGACAACATAAACTTATATACAAATACAGTGGAAATATAATATGTTGATGCAAGACAGATGAAATGGGGTAAGAGAAATCAGAAGTGGGGGAATCCCAAGAATTCCTTCAGGGCTCAAAGAAGTCATCAGGGAGTCAGGTTTTTTCCATATTTCTATTTGAGGGAAGTGCTCAAGCCTCACCTCAGGGTCAGAAAGTGGCTGCAGTGTCTCATTGCATCTGTCCTCAGTAACATCCAAAGGAGGAGAGAAAAACATGCAAAGATGAACATGATGTGGCCCTTTAAGGAACCCTGGCTCTTCCTGCAGCTTGAGGGTCAAGTTTGCATTGCGTGTTCATGCCTCAGCCCTTCCTGGCCAAAAAGAAGATAGCTATGAGTGGGGATTAACTAATAGAGAGTTGACCCTGGATGTGGTGAGAGTCCCTGGCTCTCCCCAAATCCCTTAACACTTAGACAAGATGACAGTTTTGTTGCAAGAAATGTGCAGAAGAATCTACCATAAAATGTTCTTTCCATTCACATAGGGTCCATATGAAACAAACCCTTCCACCCCAAAGCTAACACACACATTAAGCATATTTTACCTGGCTCTGAAAACATAATATCACCCCCCAGACTCTGAGTATCCCGAGGATAAAACTCAGCATCCCCTGTTCTGCAACCCCTCCAGAAGCTACTGGGGCAGGCTAGAAGGTAGAAAAGAACATCATCCCTCCATTTTGCTGATATCCCAGGAGCTGTTTGTTTCATAACTCTTCCCTGCCAACTAAATCAGTCTCATACAGTCCCAACTCAGTGTTTACTACATTTCAATAGTAGAAGTTTCATTCCATTTTAATGGAATTCATATTTCTACAGACATATTCAGAGGAAATGTTCAGTAATAAAGTGCAGACAACAATTACTAACACATACTAACAGCTAGTGAATGGTAAGATGTAACTACAGAATGAAAAAAAGAACATGGGGCTGGTAGGACAAGCCTCATGGTCAAAGTGTGTGTGAGTAGGAGGATAGGTCAGTTGTAGATGGACTGAGTTAAAGTCTTATTTGGGACTCTGAATTAGTATCAGTATATGGCAGTATATCAGCATATGGCATATATATCACGGTCACGGTCATGGTCCTCCCGTTGTTCATCAATTTGCTCAAGTGGGCCCAGTAACATCTCCCTTGTGAGACTTGTTGTTACTGTGTTTTTGGCATATTGAGTACGTCACGGATAGCTTGCCAGGCTCTGCCGTGTGGGCGAGATACTCTCGGTAGCTTGCTGGGTTCTCCGAGAGGGGCAGAGGAATCGAACTCAGGTCAGCCATATTGGCTGCGTGCAAGGCAAACGCCCTACCACTGTGCTATATATCATCAGTATATGGCAGTATATCAGTATATGAATATATCTCAGTAATGGCAGACCCAGGTACCTTCCTCCCTAGTCTACCAGTTGTTTCTACCAATATACCCCATTCTTCCCTTCTCTGTGACAGTTATGAATTAATTATTGTTCAGGATAATTCTTTTAAGGATGTAAAGCTCCTCCCAACAGTTTCCAGCTGATGTTCAGGTGTATTTTCTTTCCCTACTCTGAATGCAGTAGTTACTTGATATCCTCACACATAGTAATTCCCAATAAAAATGGAAGTTTTCTTCTGAAACTCAGGTATGTGGGGGTTCTGGGTATTAGTACATAGTCTGTTATATGAATATTAACCATCGGTCCCACCTGTAGTCTCAGTTTTGTGCTTGAATTCTGTTTCATCAGTTAGAAATGACTCTTGGAACTTCCCATCAAAAACTGAATTGTGTCCTTGGATAGACAGAGTCCATGTTTACTGGACTCTGATGTCTGTTGATGTTATCAAGGAGAACATCAACCCTTCTCATACATTCCAACTTTCAAGTTGTTTGACAACAAATAAATGCCTACCCCCCTGCCACATAGCCCCATTCTACACTAAATTTTGACACTGAAAGATTTAAATCTCTATAATGTAACTTCTGAGCATAAACTAGAAATTTTTAGCAATAGTGACGTATTTGACATGCCAAAAACAGTAACAAGTCTCACAATGGAGACATTACTGGTGCCCGCTTGAACAAATTGATGAACAACAGGAGGACAGTACAATGCTATCATCATTTTAAAAAAGAAAAAGAAACATTTTTTAAAAACCGTGGAGACCAGAGTTACATGAAAGCATGTGAGAGAGAATTCCTCCTTTCCCATGACCATAAACATCTATCTGGTTTTAAGTTTCTTCATGGCCATGTTAACTGGGGGTTCATCAAAAACTTGTTCTAATGCAAACATGTTGTGCATTCAAGCAGGTGTACTTCAATTCTGTCTCTTTTTTGTAAGCTTCTCCATATGTGAAAGAAATCTAATCCATCATAGATGCACAACCAGCCCTCACAGCCCAGGGCTCCAGATCACACAAAGGAAGTAGGATAACACTGTACCTGCCCTCCTGTTCCTTCCAACATATTTGAAGACTCATAGGCTTAATGGTTTAACTTATAACACAAACAAATTGTAACTAAAATCCAATGGAGTGATATTTGCAATGGGCACATCAGGGACCTTCTAAGTGGGTGAAGCAGAAAGAACTTGTGTTAGGTTTGAAAGACCAGATGGGATCAGTGGAGGATTCATGGGGACTCAGGGTGAGCAGCAGGGTGGACTGGTTATGGAATTCTATTCAGAAGGGTGGAGAACAAATCCAAAGGACTTTGGGGTCAGGTCTGTTCATCTGGAAGCAGTAGAAGGTTGGTTCAGACTTGCAGGAGGGACTGGTCCCCACTGCACGTTATGGAGAAGATTCTGGCAAGTAGTGGCCTGATAGGGGAGTCACAGAAAAGGAAAAAGCTAGTTTGAAAGTCCCAGGCACATTACCCAGGTTGGCTGCAATAGGACTTATAAGGAAAGAAACAAAAAGATAGGAAGTACTACAATCTGAACCTTAGAAGATGTCAGTAAGGTAGTCTTTCCTAGAAATAGCCATTCCTGAGTTTCAGGCAGAAGCCTGAGTCCTGAAGGAAAGGGTCTTGCCTGGTCAAAGGGGCAAGTTGGGGAGCCAGTGAGCCTCTGTCTGCAGCTCCAGAGACAAAGTACCAGCAGCAGCTTCACCTTCATGGTGTTTTGATAGATCCACAAAGCTGGATGCCCAGGAGGATGGTTCAAGCACAGAGCGTGTGTCAGCAAGTCCCACATGCTCCCTCCCTTCCCCCACCTCCCACGGTGGGTCTGGTGAGCACTGTACACAGCCACACATCATTGAGAGTGGCCCCCCAGCCTCCCAGGCCTGCTGGGTGGAGCTTCTTTCAGGCTTTATTTTAAGGAAGAAAAGGGGGAAATGCCAGACAGACTTCCACAGATCTAAGTAAACTCCATGTCATTACTGGTATCGTAACCAATAATGCAGCTAACATAGAAATTAACTGGATATCAATTCAGGAGAGTTGAATG